TAGGGAAATCCAGTGGGAAAATCCCATTGCTTTTTGTCGATGGACCTCTCTAGCGATACTAACATCCAGGTCTGCCTACAAAAATACGTCATCACTATACCACTCTTGTGTCTCCTCAGCATACTCTTTAGGAGAGTCCATGGTTGTGGTCCAACAGTCCAAAAATCAGCTCCTAACATCTAACCCTTTCGTCTATCCCTTGACCTCTGTGTGAAACATCACAGGGTTATAGTGGATAGGGGATAGGATAATTCAAAAGGACTTAGGAGAAGAGACCGCGGTACTTTCGAGAATCCGAATGCACTTTCACTATCCGCCGTGTTTATGATGCGCCAGCGGACGTCATGAATGTGCGTCTGCTGCTGTGGGGAAACTATGGAAACTACAGTTTCTATAGCGGACTACAACATGGATGTATAATAAGAAGGAGGGACTACTGTAAACTCATCTAGAGACTCTGCACCATACTCTGATGCTGTTGTTTTATGCTTTATGAACGTGGACAACAGGTTTAAAAGAAACATATTCTTCATGACCAAAGTTGGAATTGAAATAAAAAAGGAAAGTGAAACTGATGCTCGTCACCCTCTCCCTCCGGTCCACATTAATACAAATGATCCCAATACGTATGATTGTATGAACTATGAAAAGATCTTACATATACATATATATATACAATATGTGTGACATTTTAAAGTTGGAATGAGGTTTCTGAGTGAAAGTATGAAGGAGCAGTTAGCAGTTGAAGGAGTAGCAGTTGAAGATTGTTGAAGTCTGAAGACTTCTCCATTGACTTCCATGTTAAAAATGAGATGTATTATGGGATGTATCTCTGGAATTATGAAAGTTATGAATGATGAAAGTAATAGCCATTGATTCCCGACCGAGCTGAACGTTTTGATGTTTGAACAGAGTTTCTGCGATGTTCAATGTGGGAGAAGAAGCAGCGCAAAATAACCAGGCGGAATCATAAAGAATTATGTGCGTAGCATAACAGATAGTTGGAATGCTGTGTCAGCAATCCCGCTAAATGATCCCAATACGTATGATTGTATGAACTATGAAAAGATCTTAAAATAAATACAAATGGATTTAATTATAAACATTAGTCCTTAACATCTATCACTGTGTATATCACCATTCAAACATCTTTTAAAAGTTGAACAAACCCCACACAGCTCAGTGAAATGTTGACTTTATTTGATAATTTCAGTCAAAACTAACGTTCATATTTCTCTTTTTGATTATAATACTGATGAATGTTCAAAACAAAGCACTTTGGCAACTTACCACATACGTTTTAAAAAGCTTAATAAGCACCGTAACTTTCATGATATCATTTCTCTGTCATAATCGGTTGTTTCCGTGCCGAATGTTGTGTGACGGCAAATGCTGCGGCTGCAAGGCATTGTGGGGCAGCATTTTCTCCTCTCCTTTCGGTGAGGGAGGTCCAGTGGTTCCTAAGCTAAAGGAGGTTATAGAGGAAGTTTGAAACATCCTTTCCTATCATCTTTCAAACGGCACTTATCATGGCTGTCACTGAGGGACTTCCGGCTCATTTCACTCCGTTAGGAAGGTTCCTAAGCTAAATGGACTATTCGACTTCAGTCAAGGTCCCATGGAGGTCCACCGGAAAGGGAGGGACTTCGCCTCTCTATACACTCCAACACATTGTACGTGATAAACTAAGGGGCATGACATCTCTAAATGGTTGACCAATCACAACAGAGCTTGCCAGCTAACTAATCAGAGCAGACTGGGTGCTGCAGCACAGGCAGTTTGAAAAAAAAACTTTAAACCATGTTAACATGTCACAGTAGAAGCACAACATAGAAATATGAACCTGAAAATGAGCATCATATCCTCTTTAAAGAAAAAAAAATTAGAGATTTTCTTTGCATGTTTAACAGAGCTTTCTACAGAAAGGATTCAACACCGATACAGAGTACATGTGTTTTACATTCAACCTTTTCAGAGTCAGAAAAGGTTGAATGAAGAGTGCTTGTGTTGTTTAATCTTTATCTGGTTGGCCACAGCCAAAAACAGAACTGTTTCAAACTAGCTGTAAACAGTTTGTGATCAGATGTAAAAAACCAAAGAGACTGTGTTTAAAAAGTCCTTATATTTTGAAACCAGACAAAGCAAACAGCACTTTTTGATTTGTGCTGACATCAAACATAGTGTCATGCAAACAAAGTTTATTCCTAAAATGTCCTGTTCAATCAATCTGTTACACTCCCCAACGGAAAGAAGCTTTCTGACATAATTACAAAACAGTAACTCTTCCACCGAACTCCAGCGACACATTGAAAACATGTTGTACATCCAGCCCTGGATGGATAAGACATTAAGGCCTGATGGGAACTGCTCGCTCACATCCTCCTCCCTCCTTTAGTAATTCGGAGTCTGCATGCGTTGCTGATAAGAACTATCAAAGGAGCATTTGTGTTTCCAACACAGACTTGTGATGTTTTTTTTGGTCTTATTGTCACTTCAAGAAAGTAAAATACACTTTTTGGGGGGTTTACCATAAGTCATTGAATGCAGCTTCAACATCGTCTGAAGAGAAATAAAAACACTGAGTTAGTCTGACCTGAACAAACTGGTACTGCGGATGTTATCTGACAGGCAAAAAGAGAAATCTGGACTGGACTTGAATCTTTTTACTTGTTTAATCACTTACTTTAAGTCCCCTGCACAGTAGAAATAAATGATCAGGCTTGAAATGTTAAAAGTTGACAAACCGTGTTAACATCCAGCTCACACCGATCATGAGCCTGTAAAACATTACTACACTCACACAATCATGCAGTACATACACAATGGCTGACTTTCTGTTTGATCAGGGGTGTCAAACTCAAGGCCCGGGGGCCAAATCCGGCCCATGACTTCATTTAATGTGGCCCACAAGAGCTTGCAAAGAATATAGTATGTTTATTATACGGTTACATGCAGATTTACAGAAGCACGTCACCCATAAACTACATGTCCCACAATGCATCTCAAATTTGACCTTTTTCTCATAATTTGACTTGTTTCTCATAATTTTGATTTTTTTCTTCAAAATATTCATTTTTTCTCAAAATCTGACTTTTTTCCCATAATGTAATTTTTTTTCAAAATGTCACTTTCTTTTTCTTTCTTTTTTTCCAGAATGTGGCTTTTCTTTTTAAATCATTTTGTGACATTCTGAATGAGTAGACTTGCATTTTTTGCCTAGACTTCTGCTTTCAGACGTAGTTAATTATGAAGTTATTACCCTATCTGATATGAATCCAATGCAAAGGCAATGATGTAATATAATACATTATTTTATTAAATATTTATATATGTATTTTTATATAGTCTTAAAGTTACAACCGGCCCCAACCATAATGCTAATGTGGTCCGAGATGAAAATGAGTTTGACACCCCTGTGTTAGATGATCACATGCAGGACAGATTATTGTCAGAAGTCAATTGAGAACAGGAAATGTTAGTGATGTTAAAAACAAGGGTATTTTCTGGAATCCTTCCTCCTGACCTTTCAATTGAAGCATGAAAATAACCATCAGCCTCTCAGGAAATGATTTGATCATTAATACATTGAAAATCTAGCGCACATTTTCAAAATAATTATTTCTACAACATTTTAAATAATAAGAACTTTAACTTTATTTTTGTTGACAATCTGCAAAAGTCAAATTCATAAATAGAACATCGAAAAAATGTTACGTATTTTTTTCAAAAGCACGTCACATAAGCTTCATGTTTACCCTTTAAAGGAGACACAGTGTTTCTTCCCAACTTGCTCTCTCTGTCTATTATCTGTAAAGATGAGGAGTTGCAACAAGTAGTTAGTATACTATGAGCTCAGACTTTGGGAGGAGGAGAAGGAGGAGGAGTTTTTTTTGTGTTGTCTGGAATAAATGAGGTTTAAAATCTTCAGAGAGATCCTGCAGAGAGAAGCTAACAACTGCCGAAACAGGAGTATAAGACGCCTTTTTGTATTCACATAGTCCAAATATTTGTACTTACTGTACTATTTATAGTTGGGAGATGCAGTCATTGTACTTGTAGTAACAGAGGATATTATATTTATGTTTTAATGATGCCCATTTATCTGTCATTTTGGCACATATTGTAAAAGCAGTACTTTGGCAGTCGTGGCTATATATTGAAAAGTAGTTTATAAACTATTGTATGTTCTTTCTGCATTTACAGTCAGCGTGAATGTCAGTTACTCAAGTAGTTACAGAGTCAAACAAAAAAGAGTATAAGTAAGGAAAATGCAGGACTACGAGGAGTCAGTGTCGTTCCTGGGGACTTGGGGTCCGTTCCAGAAAAGAGTCTTCCTCCTGCTCTGTCTCACCTCAATCCCAGGGGGATACAACGTCCTGTCCGTCATCTTCCTGTTGGCCAAGCCATCACACCACTGCCACATCCCCGCCCAAAGCAACCTGAGCCAGGACTGGATCCAAGCCAGCATCCCAGTACAGGTCAGAAACAAGCCTGATCAAAATGATTCCGAAGATTTTTAATTAAGTAAAAAGAATGATGGATTCCATGTGATTTTCATTATTTAAATGTTACCATCTTTATTTAATCAATGGATTTATTATCTTTTAATGCAATTAAAGCATTTTTTTCTACCCAAAAGGCTTAAACTGATTAAACAAATTCCATTTAATACAAAGCTAGCTAATTTTTCTTTATTTAGAATGTAAGCATGCCGCTGCTTTGTTTTCAGGTTAAAGTTAAGTATTTTGAGTTGGTTGAATTTGTCTTGTTTGATGAATAAACTTGTTAAAAAATTAAGTCGCATTTATTTTATCAGTTCCACATGTTACCCTCTGCAGGACAGTAATACATCATTTGTAGCTAAACTAATTACATTTTTTATCTAGTTGAATGCTGAGGCACAACATTGCAGATTTCTGTGTACGAGCTAAGGGTTTTCTAATATTTGGAAACGCAGTCAGCTAATTATTTACTATACAGCTTTGGGGCTGTGCTCCCTGTGCAGGTCAGAACCAGTCTGGTTAAAACTGATCTGAATGAGTGCAGCATACCTCCTGTTGTTGCAGCAAGTTGGACATAATGATTTCCTGGTCAGCAGGTGGCAGGAGGACGGCTGGAGAGGAGCAGTTGT